TGTGTGTGTCTGTGTGTGTCTGTGTGTGTATCCAAAAAAGCACTTTCCCATTCTGTCTGACTTTTCCTCTTCTGTCCTGATGTGGCAGTTTTGCACCCTATCTGGAGAGAGAGAGAGAGAGAGAGCAAGAGAGAGAGCGAGAGAGCGAGAGCACTTTTTGTTGTCATTCATATGCAGATTTAATCAAGGTTAATTGATTCATCAAATAAAATCAGTTGGTTAAGAACTCTCTAATAAGGGAGTTAGAGTCTCCTGAAGCCTGCCTTTTCTCTAATGAAACCAGGACTTTTTAAACACTTCACTTAAAAGCCTAATGATCAAGAATAAATTTTTCCCCCCCAGGTTTTTCTTGTTTTCTGCTGGAAATGCAGAAGCTCAGGTTCTTGGATGCGACTCCTAGAATCCCTAAAAAACTTACAAACACCTTGCAATTTTGAATTGGTTGGGAAGGAAAAGCTAATGTGTATGTGTGCATAGTCATATTAATTATTTTAATTATATTACCTTTATATTTAATTACATCAACATTCATTTTTATTCTCGCCCATATATTTTTATAGCATCACTCACTTTGGGGAGTTTGACTCATTGCAAAATACTCAGAAAGCAAGCACAACCCTGCTTTGCCCTATGAAATGTTTTGATCATCTGATATTACTTCCTTGGCATGTTTCCTTAGCAATGGACTAATTTATTTATCCTCTTTTTTTAAAATTAGAATGTCAGAACAAAATATAATAAAACCCTACCACTCGGAATTTTCTGTCAGTAACTGGAATCAAAAACTGGTACAAAGGCAGGAAATGTTCATCAAAATAAAACACAGTTATATGGTTGGTCCAACACAAAAAGCCCATAAATCATGATTAGAACATGAGAATATTCCTGCTAGACCAAGCTGAGGTTTACCTTAGTTCTCTAGCATTTGTTTCTTACAGCAGCCAAGCAGATCCCATTGGAGTGTTGTAAGCAGGACACCAGTTATGGAGGTTGAAGGTTCTCCATCTCTGGAGGCTGAAGAACCTCTCTATTGGATGGCTTAATGGTTTTCCTGCACATTGCAGAAGATCAAAGTTCCCCAAAGTGGCCAGTATCGACACCCAAGGGTTGATGGGACTATCCAAGAGGTCAATTATTATTGTTATTGTTATTATTGTTATTTGTAGTACTATTAGTTAAAGTATTATTTACTAAATTGTTTTCATATAATAAATGTTTGGGGGTCAATAAACAATGTGAAACTTCATGAAGGGGTCGATGAGCTGAAGAATTTGGAGACCCTGCACTAGTTGATCCTTGTGGTACCTTCCAATCCCACAATTCCATGATTCTATGCATTTGAGGGAGATATAACTGTTTTTCACTGTTGTCTCCCTGGCAACTGGTGTTTGGAGCATGCTGCTTCCAACCCACAGTTGGTTCTGCTTCTTCAAGACCAATAACCCTCAATAGACCTGTCCTCCATGTATTTATCCAGTCCCCTTTTAAAGGACAAAAGCCAAACTGAAACATATAACATTATGTCTTTGTACAATCGATGGATTCCTCCTTCATTAAAGTCTCCCAGCTTTCAAGGATGCTTGGCAGACCTTCCTAGATACCTTATTTTATTTAATTGAATATCATTCAAACTTTTCAGACTTTTGGAAATGGACCCCCCTGGACTTAGATGTTTTTATTTCTGATCATCACAGTAGAAATCTGTTCTATATTTGAAAGATGAAATAATCTTCCTGCCTTTGAAAAGGAATAAATATGAAGAAGTGATGTGGGTAAAAGGGCCCCCACACAAATACACAAGGGGCTTCCTGAAGCTGTTTTGCAAGTCATTGAAATTCCAGGTCTTTCCTGGAAGAGAACAGGAACAACTTTGCAGATTTTTATCAAGAGCTTTTCAAAGCCTTGCAGAGAGAATAAGGAGGGGATAGAATAGAGGGGACCTTTTCAAAAGAAAAAATGGTGTTGCCTCCCTCAGAGCGGGGTTTAATTTCAAACCAAGCTTTGGAACAAGCAGGTGGACCAAACTAGAAATCAGGGATTGTGTGCAGCCTCATAGAAACAAAAGCATATTTTTATCATATAACTATATACAGTGTGTGTGTGTGTGTCTGTGTATGCACATTCCTTGTGATAGTGAGAGGATATCCTGGTTGCTGTTACTCAAGAGAAACTTCTTGCCTTTCTTTGCAGGGCAAAATATTATCTATCGAGGATGTTTTAAAATACCAGAAAATTTAACAAACATCTTACCAGCCTCATTGATACATTCCAATTTGACAGTGGAGATGTGCTCTGAATTTTGCTCCCAAAAAGTAAGAATTACTTTCTTCCTGCCTTCCATATTATTATGGTTGGTCACACAGTCAGCCAGATGTTTAGACTGGATGTGGCATTTTTATCCACCTATTGAGACCTTCCCAAGGACCTGGGATAGGCAGATGTTGTTTGATGGGGTTAAAGGTATTGTCACAGGATGGAAGCTGTTCCAAGTCAAGCTGCCTTTTGCAACTGACTGATGGTGATTTTATCAATGCCGATGGTCTTCAAGTGGTGCTCCAGATGTTTCGGGATTGCACCCAAGACGCCTATAACTATTGGTACTATCTTTGCTTTCTTTTGCTATAGTCATTCTACTTCTATTTGCAGGTCTTTATATTTTGTGATTTTCTCCACTTCTTTCTCTTCTATTCTGCTCCATTATTATTATTGTTATTATTGTTATTATTATTACATCACATCACATCACACTACAGTTTTCCTATGTTTTCTGCTACAAAATTACAGCAACCTATATCACCAATCCTTGACAATTGAGGTCAGATAAGTCTCTTGGGATATATAGTATCTGTGAAAGAAGTTTGTAAGTTCTGAGTCTTCAGATTCCTAACTTCTCCCCTAAGCTAGAAGCTTCTGGGATGGAAAATATATCTGTAATTGCATTTAAGATGTAATATGAGCCTATTAATGGCAACCAAAGCAGGCTGTAGGATGTATATCTGCAACTCCATTGAACAGTTGTTGATTAGGGTACCTATTTTATGCTCACCCAACACTTCATTTTTCATAGTCAAAAAATGCAGGATTTGTACCTTTTAGAATTATAGAAATGTGATTTGCAACATAAATGCCTCCTTCCCACCCTCCCTCCCTCCCTCCTCCCACGCATATTCATTTGTTTGTATCAGAACAAAATACACATTGATTATACAGCTTTTGCTTTGCAAAATTTGCTTCATTTGCTTTGCAAATTCCAGAGTTTGCCATCATGCAGAGGCACCTAATGGTATCAGATGGAAAATCCATTTAGAGAAATTTAGGACTGAAAAGGTGGGGCAGACACAAAATGCAGACCTTGGGCATTATACCAATACATGTGATTCTATTCTCTTCACTGCCTGAGCCTTTGCACATTAAGAACAACATGTGAGAAGGCTTGTTTTTACTCGCAGTTGTCTACCCCAAATCCAAAAGTTGGTCACTGCGACTTCCATTCATCCATCCATCCATCCATCCCTCTCCCCCTCTCCCTCTCTCACTGTTATCAACTTGACTCCCAACAATTTGATTTGAATAATTTCTTTGATCTGCAGAGTCAGGTCAATTCAGTACCAAAACATAGATCTGGTCTGATTTGATTTACTTGATCTGATTTGCTAATATGTATGCTTGTACAACAATCCACTGAATTACCAAATTGACTGGAAGGCACCTAATTCAATTTGATGACTGAAAATGATTTGGTGATTTAAGATTTGATTTGAAGCAGAGGTTCAGTAGATCAACTACAAACTGACAATTCAAACTGAAACTTCATTCAAATGTAATAAAGAAACTTTTGGTCTAATACTGTCGAGCTTATTGTTATGACCAATCCCCGTCACATATGTTTATTCTAGCTTCCTTTGTGATCTGGAGAATCTTCCAGTTCCACAAATCACTTAAAACAATTAAGATCCAGGATATAAAGCTACATGATTACTAGTAATGGGACTTTAATGGCTTATTTATGTTTAGTCCTTGTGATGGAAACCTATTTGGTTAAAATGGTACCTGTTAATGTCTCCCTTCCTGTAAACCACAAAAAGAGGGAAATTTCATATAGAAAATTTGGTAATAAGAAGAGTCCCCCCCCCCCACCAGGACAATATATTTTAGTTCTGCCCTGTGGAAAACTTCAGGATATGTCAAAAACAAGAATATGATTTGCTACTTATTCAAAGTTTCAGTGAAAACATTTCTTTAAAAAACCAACACTTTCATGATAGATTAGGACAATTTCATGGTGGAGTATATGACTGCCAGTTTCATGGATATCAAGCTGCCTAGAGTCATGTATGTAAGCTATATAAATTGAATAAACAAACAAATCAATACATTTACCATCAGCTCTATTTAGTCTTGTAATTATGATTCTTCACATATTCCCATTCTGCACATAGTCTCTTTCCTACAAAATGTTACCTTTTTGTAGTTCCCAAAGATGTTCTCATTTGATCAAATTCCACCCTTCAAGCATTCTCCCTCAATCTTTTTCACCAATAAAAAGAGAAAGATAATTAGGTCTGCCTGTCTTAGAGACAGGAACTCTAAGAGGTCCTCTCCAGAACTGAATATTGCTTTTTGTCTGAGCAGGTGAATAAAATAAATCACAATATTGTAAACAAAGTAGTGCGATTATCTCCAAATGTTCCAGTTGTTGGGTAAAACATCCAGAGAAGAGATTCATCTCCTGAAATAAGTAAGAGACTTGCATGTTGAACGAGATGGCTTCCTTTGACAGACCAATAGCCAATAAATTAAATTTGGTGACATTTCAGAGATTACACTTTGGTTCTATCATATTTTCTAAACACTCGACAGGAACCTAAATCTATTTATTGTCTGAATTTTTTTAAAAAATCATGCTGTGCTCCTAAGTGTTTAGATCTGCATCTAAGTTGAGCATGACAGAGTATCATCTACTATTTATTAGTTAGATAGTAAAACTGCCTTTTCTTTGAGGACAGAGATGGGCAACCTTTAACTGAGGGCTGCATGAGGCACCTGGCCCCAAGTTGTAACCCCCAAAGTAGCCTGCAAATATCTGATTTTCACTGCTGGGTTTTCTACATTTTAAATGAAAAGGGTCAGTTGATGTAAATATCTGTTGTAACCCTTTTAGCTTCTTCCTACCAACCACCTCTCCCAAAGCTCCCAAAATATTCCCCTTCAAGGTAGCATATATGGTTTTTCCTTTTCCATTTCATCTTTGCAACAATCCTACAAGATGGACAGGCTGATTAAGAATGACTAATCTGAAACCCATATGTTTTTGGAGCTACGCAGGGACCAAAATGTGGATTCTATCAGCCCTCATCCAACACTTCAATCATACTATATCACATTGACTCTCCTACGCAGACCCTTAAGCTATACTAGAAGATTATTTTTCAGTGTCAGCATGCAATTTCCCTCAATGCAGTCTTCTGATAGTATTGTAAAAAATTAAAATGGCTCATCAGATGGATATCTTCATAAGAGGGGACCCACCTAAATGGCCATCTGGAGAGAGCACCAGTCATTGTTACCACCCACAAATAGCCCATTAAGGACAATTTAAAATTTAAGGAGGATGGCAGGAGCTCAGATGCAATGTTAAAGTGAGGAAGACATCCAGCCCCCTTTTTGAGTCTACAGGCCTGGACCCATTATGGTGCAACTAGTTTTTCTTAGAGCCCCAACCCCCAGGTGTCTGGGGTTCACCTCACCTTAAGTACTATTTCCATGATAACAAACATTTTTCACATTTCTCTTCCTCACTTCCACAGGAACAAAAAGGAGTTTGCTCCTGCTGTCTTCATTTAATGTCAGATGGATCATGGCTTTCTCTGAGAAAGGGATGCTGTTTTTCAGATTTAAAAACAAAAGATAAAAATAAGCATTTGAAATAACGCACATGCCTGCTTGCCTATGGCTGAACAGGGTGACAGCTCCAAAGAAACCATCATGTCCATCCAAAGTGTCAAGGCAGATGCTTGTAGCTAGTTCTGTTTTCCCCAGGTCCTATCTTCTGCCCTGGGGTGGCCTTCTGGGGGCAGTCAAAATATCAAGACTGCAATTGCACCAAAAAAACCTGTTCCTTTTTTAGGCATCACACACATGTAAAACTAGGCTGGGTTTTGATTGCAGGGGTGTGATCAACATCTTGACATTTTTGACCCTTCCTCCAGACACTCCTGAGCAAATGCTAATCTGTACAACGAGGATTAAATAACAAAAGGATTAATAAAATGTGGGCAGGGTTCTACTATTCCGATTGTATGTGGTTCCAGGAGTTTTAATAAGGTTAGGGTTAGGAAGATCCAAGTCCTATTAGGAGAGGTTGAGGGTGGGAGTGTACAAATTTCACATTCAAAACATTTTGGGCTCAAAACATCTCTTTTGAGGAGGAAGCAATTGTTTTGAGTTCAAAACAGGTTGTTTTGCCCTTCCAGAAATGTTTTCATAGTGAGCATGAGACATTTCCAGTTTGAGTGGGGCTGTTTTCAGCTCAAAACACTTCCAGGATGTCCTGAATAGTGTCAGAAGCTCACTGGGATGTCAGAAGAATACATTTTGGACTCAAAACCACTGCTGTGAATTTTAAATGTCTTGCCATACTCTTGAAGGATCTAGTGTATTTAACTTTCAACAAAGACAACTGACAGAAGGGGTATCACATGGGAAAAGATCAAGTCTTGTTTTCTGTGTTCACTGAATGCAGGACACAGAATAATGTCTTTAAGTTACAGGGAGGCAACTTCTGGTTGAACATTAGGAAACGCACGCCAGTGGTTAGAACAATTGAACCATCCATACTGGAGGTGAACACCACTTTGATGGGGGTGTTTATCTGTAGGAGATTCTTTAATCTGTCCTCTTGTCTGAGTGAGAAGTTGAACTTGATGACCTAAGTAGTCTCTTCCAACTCAATGGTGGTGTTCACACACTATTCTTAACCTCGTTACTAAATTAACCTGTTTTCTGGATTTGCACTACACATTGAACCATAATCTAACCAGTAGATTAGGTAATATGCTAAGCCACAGAAAACTCAATTATGGTTAACACTAACCAAACTTAGCATATCATGCAAAGGCAGCTAATAAGCTTTTCCACTGAGCTGCTTAGTCGCATTGTGTATCCAGAGCATACAATTTAACAGTCCAAATCACAGCTCAGCACTGTTCAGATAGTCCTCACTATTTTCTTAGACTTCATCTCTACCAAGAAAAAGGAAATCTGCAAATGCCTTTCTCTTAGAAAATGGATTTTTACATGTAATCAAACTGAATTACTTTCTATCCTGTAAAAATGGACTAATGAGACCCACACAGTTTGTTTTCTCCCCTGCCATGGTTTTAACCTAAAGGGAAAGTCCGAAGGGGACAGTTTGAACCCAATTATGTTGACAACTATTTAATGCCTTGTCATGCTGATGGAACATTGGAAAAAGAGCCTTAGGGACTCTCCATAAATTACCTCATTAGGAGGGGATCATTACCGACAGAGCCTATGTTCTCTTCAGGAGAACAGCATTAGGTCCTTTTCACCAGACACATTCAATGTTATTGATAGCTGCTGCCTGCTTTGAATTGACCTTCTGTATTGCTTGGGTAGGAGAAGGTTAGACTCATTCTTTCCTGATGCCCTGATCCGTAAAGATGACCCTAAACACACGTACTTAGCCATAAGGCCTACTGGATCATGGGGCTTCCTTCCAAAGTCTACCCAAGCCTTTCACTGCATAAAATGAGAAGAAAGCAACAATTTCGCCAATGTGTTATATTATTTAATGGACACAGTTCTTCCAAAGGTAGAGTTTGGGGGAGATTTAGGTTGTAATCCTAGAGAACCTCCTTCTCCAGCTTAGTGCCCCCAAATACGTTGCAGTTGCACCTCCCAGAAGTCCCAACAAACATGGACACTCTATTGGGTGATTTTGTTTGGTTTGCATGGCAAAAGTAACCTCCCCATGTTTTATACTTCCTGGAATAATAGGTAGATTGGAATATGGTCCCTTTCAGACTTTTGCATCATGAAATGTTGTGATGCAACTTCTGGAGGGAAAAAAACTACACTGAAATATTTATAGTAATTGAGAGAGAAGATCTTTAGAAAGATTTGTTTTGGGAGATAGCACAGTACCTGTAGACTGGGCCTTCATTGTTACGTATCAGGATGGGTTTGTTCCATCCAAATTCCAGATCAGTCTGAATTTCTTTTAAAAAAATCACCCCAAATCATCCAAAATGGCATGCAATGTTTTCTAGCATAAAATGGCTTTTAGCAGATAATTCTACACATACACACAAATGCACAAATTATATATATATATATATATATAAGCTTTGTAGGTGATTATTCTGAGAGGACCACACTCAAAAAAAGCAGTTTCTGTTAATTTGGAAAGTATGTGTCATATCTGTTCCATAATATACAGATAGAGGTATACATTTATTCAGATTGATATTTAGGTGTTCCAGTTCCAGTAGGACCAAATAAATGTCTTCTTTTATTTCTTTAAAATTATATGAAAAGAAAAGGTTCACTACAGCAAACTTTGTACGAATAATGGCAGGTATTAGGGCTGGTAGTGCTTTGGATTTGAAGACAAAACTTCACAGGGTGCAAAGTCATGCATCTCTACAGCATCTTAATCCAAATTAATCTTTTCCTGTGAGACATTGCTGGGAGCAGCTTCTGAGACAAGATCTTCCAAGTCAAGATGATGATAGCCAATTGAAGCCCACCCCTTTTTAATGTATGTCCCGTGTTGACATCCCTGGGCATGACAGATGTAATTTCACCAGGATTTGGTCAGTAATTGTTTCTCAAGTTCTACTTCTGTCATCAGTGATATTATCTAGCTACCTTGTCTTCTGTGGGCACCCTTTTCTATTGCTTTCTGTTTTCATCAAGATCTTTCCCAATAACTCTTGCCTTCACAATATGGGCCCAAAGTATCTAAACTTTAGCTTATTATTACTATCTGGTTTTACTTCATCTGGCACTGAATGATTTGTTCTTCTTGGTGTCCAAGATATTCTCCAATCTTTCCTAGCACCACAATTCAAAGACATTGATCATTCTTTGCTCACCCTTTCTGATAATCTAGCTTTCACAGCCATGTGTTACAACAGGAAGAACCATGCCCTTGACAATAAGTACCTTTGTCGTCAGTGTGAAGTCTCTGCACTATATTAGTTTGTCTAGATTCATCATAGACTTTCTCCCAAGTAGTAGATGTTCCTATACTCATTGCTACAACTATCATCCCTCTGAATGACTGAGCCTAGGAAGAGAAAGTCTATTACTATTTCAACCTCTTCTCTGCCTGTTTGCTCTGGATTGGCATTGCCTGTTGACATAACCTTAGTTTTTAATACTGGGCAGTTTTTGCATTGTCTTTTTTCACCTTCAACATGAAAAGTCTTCCTTGTTGCTTCCATCTATCAAAATGATGCCTCGCTTAGGGTATTTGGGCTTCTATATCACTTCAATCAGATTTTGAGCAATTTACAATCCATACATATAGTAATTCAGGTTAAACCACCTAAATACAGACACGTTCAGTAATAATCTACAGAACAATATCATCTGAAAGCCTAGCTCCACATCTAAGGTTGTGGAAATTTCTCCCAGCAATTTTAATTCCAGTTTTTATTTTTTCTAGTCCATCATTTCTCACGATATGTTTCACATAGATATTACATAAATAAGGTGACTGTATACAACCCTGACACACTCCTTTTCCATTTTGAACCATTTGATTAGTAAGTGCCATGAAGTTCTTGTTGACTCCTAGTGACCACGTAGATAGATTTTCTCCATGACGATCTGTCCATAACCTGATCTTTCAGGTCTTCAAGTGATGAACTCATTGTCACTGTAATATTCTAATTCTTGTTTCCTGTTCATCATCCAAATTCTATAATAAGCAGTTGAAATGGTCTGTTGCATCCATGTTTTTAAACACTATGCATAATTAGTTGTAGTCCATCCAAAAAGCTAATATATAGTCAATTAAACAAATAGGCATATTTTTGGATTCCCTTGCTTTTTCTCTTATCCGTCAGATGCTGGCAATGTGATCCATTCCTTTTCTGAATTTAGCTTTTACCCCTGACAGTTCTCATTTCATAAAGTCTATTTTGCAAAACCTTGAGGATTATTTTATAAGCATTTGCAATATGTGCAATTGTTTGATAATTTCAGCATCCTTTAGCATTGCTCTGCCCATCATTAAATACAGATCAGTAAAAATACTTCTCATCTCTATCACAGGTATTTATTCAAATACCACTTATTACATACACACATCCTTTCTTTAGTTAAAAATATAGGTTTAATGCAAAACCAGAACAAGCTCATGCAGTGGACTTATGAATGGATGCAAGTTAGGGAGAAAAGAAGCAAATGGAATTGTAACTGAATAATTTTTCTTTAATCATAGTAATTACTTTGACCTATTTACAGATGTATGCATCTTTAATACATTGTTTTGTGTCAAAATGAATATCTGAGGACAAGTCTTATCACTAATTTACAAACACTATCATTCATTGTGTATTTGCTGGGGTAGGTCCCATTGAACTCAATGGGGCTTACTTCTGAGTAGACATATGCTGTGTTAGATTGCACTGTTAGAGTTTTGATCAGTTGACACCGTCATTAATCCTCTTCATCTGATACAATCTACCCCTGGAAAGGTCCCAAGAGATTGCAAATGAAGTTCAAAAGAGTGCAGAATTTAATTTCTATCATTAGCTGATATTCGCTGATGTTTGCGACTACAGTTGACAGCCTGCTTTTCTCCACTTTCTTCCTCACTAGGAATTCCCTTTGGCAGTCATTAGAAGACCCCAATGCCACTGTGGCTTTGCAACAATTAATTTCCCACTGCATAATAGCTCCGACAGATCATTTTGCAGCAGGCTTGAAAATGTCAGCGGTACAGCTGAAGTTTCAAATGCAGAAGACCATCGCTTTGTTTATCAAACTCCAGTCCAAGGTAGGAGAGAAAGTCCATTGAGACCTACTTTGCTTATATTTATATCATCTATCATCATATCAATATTTGTATAGTATATACACATACAAACACACAGGGATTGAGAAATGAAGAAAGAAATATACTGTGTTTCTACAACACTCTAGACTTGCACAACATCCAGATTTCAACTCCTAGAATTGTCAGCAATGCTCATCCTGGCTGGAGAATTCTGGGAAGTAAAGACCGCACATCTGGAAATTGCCCATCTTTTGTCATTCCCCCCCTTACTTGCTACCCTTGCAGACACATGGGGACAGGGGGACACAAGGGGGAGAAAAGGGGTGAAACGTGTTGTAACATGGTGACACAAGATCCACTCCTTACATACTTGCACGCGATGTCACAACACAGATAGAAAAAGGTGAAGCTTGCATTGTGACATCACCACACACATTTCATCGTCGTGATTAGGAATGATTTGTTTCTAGAGGTCCTGCCCTTTTTTTAGAGCACAATTTAACATTCCACTAAAAATGTCCAAGGGCGTATGTGATAAGGTAGGGTGACACAGAGTCCAAATTGGTATGGTGCAGTGTAGCAGTTACTATGTTGAATTGGGACCAGGACACAAGTTTCAAATCTGTCACCTGATAGAGAAAGGTCAAATTGGATGACTTTGGGCAAGTCTCTCTCTCTCTCTCTCTCACACACACACACACTTAGCCAACCACCTTTATGAGGTTATTGTGGGCTTAACATTGAAGGAGAAAATGTTTTGTTTACTATGTTAAGCTCCTGGAGGAAAGGCAGAGGATAAATGTAATAAGTAAATAAACTCTCACCCTATATTCTGTTCTGCTTCCCTGTGCTTTTAGTGCTGTTTTTAGAGTGACTTACAGTTTTTTTTTAAACTCCTGTCCACACCCCCCCCCCCCCCCCC